TTGTGTGCTGAGTGCAGCAGTGTGAGCGCCAGTAGGCTGCGGGAAGCTCTAAAGCCCGAAGTCCGGATATCTGGGCTTTTTGTGTCTTTAACACACATGTGCACAGTAGATTTTATGACTTAATTCAGCGTCTAAACATTCTGCTTTGAAGGTCTTGATTCCTTTCCCTGTGTTATGCATTAGTTCTAGGGAAAACATTGTGAAAGTTAAGGTTGCTGAATTGACTCTGGATCTCAATCAGTTTGATTCTACTGTTGGGCTCAGAGATTCTAGAAGCTGTTACAGGTGACATAAAGGATATTTCTCCTCTCTGGGCAGCTGCAGTATAACTTCCTTTTTGTTTTTTTCTTCCAGAAAAAAGGCTGGAAAACAATTTTCAATTTTGTGATTGCTTTTTTTCCTTACAGCATGCAAATTGCTTCTTACTGCACATACTTGAAAGGGTGTAGGAGATTCTTCCTCTACATTTAAAGCCTTCTTTAGACCTTATCTGGATGGCTTGTTGACTAGAAAGTATTCATTATCACACACCTTTCTGTCCTTTTAAAATATTCTTTTACAGCAATTTGTGTTTTAATGCATCAGTGTTTGCAATATTCATTCTTCAGTGCTGTTTCATTCTCAGATCTTGATGTAAGTTTTTTAACCCTATTGTTTTTAGCAACAGCAGTCATGTGATGACTAAGGCACAAACATTTTTCTGTTGACTTTGCTGCAGAAGCAATTTGTACTGGAAGCTCTTGAAGCACCCTGCCTTGATGCTTACACCAGTATGAGTCAGAGATGATAAAAAGTGTCCTTGCATTCTTCATTGCATTGTAATGGCTTTCAGTTTCATTTAAAAGAGAATTTCAATTTCTAAGACTAAGGGAAGACATTAAAATTTGATGTACTCCAGAATCTGGAAGTATCATGACTGCAGTTTAGAAAGTGGTTTTGCTACATTGTAGAGTTTGAAGTACAGTAGACTTAAGAAAAATAATGCTGACTGACAGAAAAACAGGTTGTGCTTTGGCAGCTTCTGAACTCTGGCATGTTTAGAACACAGTATTACGGAGAATTTATTTACATAACTTCTGGATGGTGAAAATCGCAATCCTTTTTTAATCTATATTAAAAAAAACCGACAAAAACAATAAATCCTGAATTTCTAGCAATTCTGTCCATGTTTAACCCAGAACTGGAGATTTGAGGAATTTTCTCAGTATTTTGTCAATATTATCTACTTTTTCAGAAAGCCTTGTATTGAGCTCTCATCAAAATATGGAACCCTCGTCAAAAGCTGCCTTGCTGTTAAGAATTTGGATGTGATTTTTCTTTTTGGTAGTAGATGCGTTTTTTCATTTCTAGCTGAAAAATGTGAATGTTGTTTTAGATTAATGAAATCTGTTGCAGTCCAGGCATTGTTTTTGCTTTTGTCTTGTTTTTTCCTGATTTTTCTTAGGTTAGCTATTAATGGATGTTACTAGTTATGTTGCCTCAGTAATAAATATAGGACAAAGAACATACAGTAGATACAAGTATAAACACTTCTGCTGTTACTCTTTGGGAGTTCTTCAGAAATGGTCTTTGCAAGTCCTCTGTTATGAATTTACTCTAGTGCAAGGTGCTTCTGATGAAGTGTGTGTTCTCTGACCAAAGAATGCGTGTAACAAGATAAATCTTTGTCTTGTCTCGTTAAAAGTGAATGCTAAAACTAAAGACTGTGTGGAGAAGATCAAGCCTAGTAAAATAAAGAAGCAATAATTGAAAACTCTTTTAATTTTAGCAGTATTTTTAATTGAGTAGCTAGATACCATTCTGATACCCAAAGGAATGAGTTACTCTATAAATACTGAAAGTAAAGGTTGAGTTTGGTCCAAATATCATGGTTTTAACTACTCAGCCTTTCTTAAATTAAAGATAATAATGGCAATGCCTTTACTTGTTTGAGGCTGAGTGCTTCCAGATATTAAGAGTTCTGAGAATCAAGAACGTTAATTTTTTTTTCTGTGGTAAGTAAATATATGATGTATTTAAGCTGTGGTTCCAAATACTCAGTTACTATCAGTTTCAAGTGAATTTAGTTATAAAGAATAGGATATCATTAAAAGGTTAGCTTTCTATGAAATCTATTTAAAAATCACTTCAGATATGTGTTTTGCATTTGTTACATAGTTTACTTTCTCAAACTTATTGTGCAAACCTGGCTTTATTTTTATTTTGCTTGGACAGGCTGGAGAGTTGGGCAGAGAGGGAACCAGGTGAGGTTTAAGAAGAGCAAGTGTAGAAACTTGCGCCTAGGGGAGAATAGCCACCTGTTAACCACCAGTACAGACTGGGGGATGACCCACTGGAGAGGAGCTCTGCAGTGAAGGATGTGGGGGTCCTGATGGACAACAGATTGGCCATGAGCCAGCAGTGTGCCCTAGTGGCCAAGAAGGCCAATGGTGTTCTGGGGAGCATTAAAAGGGAGGTGATCATCCTCCCCTTTGTTCTGCCTTGGTGAAGCCTCACCTGGAGTACTGTGTCCTCCAGTTCTGGGCTGCCAGGTACAAAAAAGACAGGTCTCCTGGAAGGAGCCCAGCAGAGGACAACAGAGATGATAAAGGGCCTGGACCACCTCTAATGAGGCAAGGGTGAGCAACTTGGGTCTGTTCTGCCTTGAGAAAAGAAGACTGAGGTCAGTGTCTAAATATCAAGGTGTGGGAGGCAAAGGGCTGAGGCCAGACCATTTTCAGTAGTGTGTGACAATAAGACAAAGGGAAACGGACACAAACTGAAGCATAGGAAGTTCCATACAAATGTGTGTAAGAACTTCATGGTAAGGGTGATGGAGCACTGGAACAGGCTGCACAGAGAGCTTGTAGAGTTTACACATGAGATGTCCAAGACCTGCCTGCATGCCTACCTGTGCAACCTACTGTAGGGAGCCTGCTTTGGCAGGGGGTTGGACTAGATGATCTCTAGAGGTACCTTCCAGCCCCTGCAGTTCTGTAACTCTAATGTATTGGTCCATTACTGACTAATTTTAAATGTCAGCTTTTCACAAGATTCACTCCTCTGTCTTTTTCTCCTTCTAGGAGTATATTAAGGGTCTCTGTGAACCTGAACTAGAAGAAAAAGAATACTACCCAAAGGACATGCACTGTATTTTTGTTGGTGCACAGAACATGTTTCTCAACAGTCTTATTCAGGATACCTGTGCTGACATAACCGTGCTGGAAATAGGATTGCTTAGTATTAAAGGGGGTGCAGAAGCAGTTGTTATGGCTCAAAGTCAAGTTCAGCAGTTTGTGAAGCTTTTTGAGAATAATGAAAGCTTGTCAAGCGAATATGAATCAGATATTAAAAAGCAATTTAGGCAATTTGTGGAGGCACATGCAGATAAATATACAATGGATTTACTGATTTTGCCTAGCTCACTAAAAAGAGAACTCCTAACTCTTACGCAAACTGAATGTTGTGAGTCAGGGGGTGCTATTATAGATCTTACGCGGTCTGGAAGCCCAGCAGAGCTCTTACAGGACAAAACCTCTGAAGTAATTGTTACAAGCAGAGATGGAAAAACAGGAGATGAGGAAGAGAGAAACAATGCTGGGACTCCTGTAACTGAGCTTACAAAGCAAATGGACAATGTGTTTTCTGATGCTCCCGAAACAAGTTTTGTTCCCATAAATGTTGTGCCTCCATTAGAGGCAATGGCATCTAAAGAAAGGCAGTCTTGTAAAAGAAGATTTTCTGATGCTGAGGAAAGTCTCCCTAAAAAGCAGTTCTCTTTGGAAAATGACCAGGAAGTGAATTCTGTCTTACACAGTGATCCTTCCAAGAGGGATGATGTTATCGATCTGATTTCAGGTAGCTGTGGTGAATTAGATGATCCCAGTTACTGTATAAAAGAAGGTGATGATATCAGTGAGGAAATAGAATATAAGATTCTTGTAAACTTTTTTAGAACAATGGGATATTCACAAAGTATTGTGGAAAAAGTTATTGGTGTTCTAGGACAATCTGTGGAACCCTTAACATTGCTAGAAGAAATTGAAAAAGAAAACTTGAAACTTCAGAAAGAAAAAGAATGGTCATCTAAAACGCCTAGAACTACAAATCTTTGTTCAGGAAGTAATGCAAATAGTTCACATATCCTAGAAGATGAGGACATTTCTTGCAAGAAAAATCCCCTTAAAACCAGTCATACTTCCAATGAGACGAGAACAGAACGTCACAAAATCAGAGATATCTCAAGTACTCAAATTGATGCGGAAGATAAAATGCATGTATCTGTATGCAAACCTGTCTCTCCTGGTAAAAGTTCAGCTATATGCTATAAACAAAGAGATAGCTATTGTCCTGCTAAGAATCATAACTCAACATCAAGTGATACAGAAACTGATGGTTCTGTACCTCTCAGTCCTACACAGGCTGGAGCTCCCAAAGATGTTGATTTTGTAGCCAGAGGGAGCTCAGATGTGTGGCGTACCTCAGCTAAGAGTAAAAATGCAGTTCAGCAAAAATCTGCAGGGTCCTCACCTGTGCAGAATAGTCATCCTGTTGTAGAGGACCAGTTAGGACACTGCAGCTCTTATCAAGTGAGATCTCCCAACCAACACACTTCTCAAAAGTCAAATTTTGAAAATCCTACCCAAGCCCATACATTGTCTTCAGAGATAAATTCTACAAATCCTGACAGAGAGATGGACAGAGCATACAGACGTCATATTGATCCTTCAATTACTGGCGTCCAAAGATTTCTGGAATCTCTCAAAAAGCCATACAGACTGGAGTTGAAAAATGAACCTGGGAAACCATATTTAAAACATATCATTATTGATGGAAGCAACGTTGCAATTTCGTAAGTATTGTTCTTACTAAGTATCTCCTTGTTAAACGTTCAATAAACTTCCAAGTGAAGTCAGGATGATGAGGTTGCTGCAGTATGTACAAAATTTTTGGTAGCTAGCTTTCTGGTGATCAGTATGTATTGAGCTGTGCTTTTCAGATGCTAATAGTGGCTACACTGATAAGGTAGGGTAAGGTTTAATAATGAAAGATTATGTGCAATTGACAGCCAGTTTAATTTCAAATACATAGCAGTTTTGATAGTTTTCATTCTCAATTTCATAACAGCATTCATATTTATGACAGCCTTAAGTTACTATTCATAAGATTGTAGCTGATTCTATGTATGACGTTTATACCAGTTTACAACTCTAACTATAATAATGCAGTTAAGACTTACTGTATCATAAAAACAATTAATGTAGAATTTATTTTTAAAGAAAAAAATGAGTAAATGGTTTAAAGTTGACTATGTGTAGAATAAGGAAGGTCTTTGATTTTAATTGCTAGGTGATTGTGTTATTCTTGGAAATATTTGCTCTAAAGCCCTTTAAGATTAAACTTTCTTGCTTTGGTAGAACTTTCAGTAATTTTTAAAACAGCTCAGATTTATGAAGTCCAAATATTAGTATCAGGAAAAAAAAATTAACAGGATAGTTGATGGAATCTAAAACCAAGTATATCTTAGTTGGTAGATGAGATCCTTCTCGATAACAAGACTTTACAGAATGAAAATTGAATTGATTCTGCAGTATTTCTTACTCGGCAGCTGTCAAGCTTTGATGACTGATGTGTGCCATTTTAAAGCAGGGAGTTATCATTGTTCCGTCTCAATATTTAAAGCCTCACAGTCAGAGGTAATTTCAGTGAGAGCTCTGTTGCAAAGTTAACAGAAGTTGACTTGCTTTTGCAGGCAACTAAGAGAAAGGTCTCTAGGAACATAGTTCATCCAGGAGAACTTCTGGTGGTCAAACTCTGCATCGTTCATAGTAGGCAATTGTTGATTTTAAGGAGAGTCACTTAACTGAGCTGTAAAAAAAACAAGTAATGAGCATCTTAATTTCTAAAGGATTGCCACTAGACTACAGTGTTTTGAAGGCATGTTTTTGAAGACATTTCATTATTTTGTTTGAATATGGTAACTCAGGTTGTTGAAAAGGAAAAGGAGGCCCTAACATCTCGTGTTATCATTGTATTTATCAGTTAATCTTGGGCAACTAGTTAAACTGTTTTATACTGGGATTGTATTTGGATACATAGCATGCTGATTGTTTTATGTATGATCAATAGTTTTCTGAAACAATTTTTGTTAGCCTCCTTTTAAAGGTAAATGTACTTCTAATTACCCAGGTATTGTACTAATGAAAGATAAAGAAGACTGAGCTACATTAAATTGCAGGCGGTAATTCTGTTCTTTTCCTGTGCTGAAGACATTTTTTTTTCATTCATAATATTTTTCACCTGTGATATCCATCTAGCTTTTATTTTGCTGAGGCTGCAGGTATATTTTCCTACTTCTGTTTTGTTTGCATTAATAGTAGTAAAGCTCTATTGAATTTAATCTTATCTTTTTCTTCCCATTCCTCCTCCCCCCAAGTCATGGTTTAAGGAAGTTCTTCTCCTGTCGAGGAATTGCAATAGCTGTTGACTACTTTTGGAAACGTGGCCACAGAAATATTACTGTGTTTGTTCCACAGTGGAGAACAAGACGTGATCCTTCCATTACAGGTGTGGCAAATAGTTTCCTAATGCTTTCTTAATTTAAATTGTAAATAATTATTTGGGTACTCCTATGAAAATGGAGAACAAATATTTCATAACACAAAGGAAGGAACACTTGTGCTAAGCACAGATAATTTGTTTTCAGCATACATTGTGAGATACTCCAATATTCTGTATAGACTTGCCTATAAGCTGTAGATGGAGACCTTTTCTTTTCTTTGCATTTTTGTTTCTTCGCTCTTTAATTTCTGGTTTCAGCCTTTTCCCCCTCTGCTTATATGTTAATAACTCTTCAGCTATCAGTATGCTACTTCTATAAATTAATAGGTACAAAAATAACCCACCTTCTCTGCTATTTATATATCTCTGTGTGTTTATATATATTTTAATTGTCAAATCCATACGTAGCTTGGAGGAAAGCTTTTGTTTTTACTGAATCGTTTCATCTTTTAACAGAGCAGGATTTTTTAACACAGCTGGAAGATGTTGGAATATTGTCTTTAACCCCTTCAAGGATGGTATTGGGAGCAAGGATTGCTTCTCATGATGACAGGTATGGAATATGCATAGTTGTTAAAAACATTTTACACCTGGTTGTCCTTAGTCCTTCACTATCAGTACTATTATCTAGTTGTTCAGTGTGTCTTGACAGGGTGCGATGTGTTCAGCTTTAGACTGACTCACATATTGTAACATTAACATGAAATCTCTGTTCTTGTACATACTGCTTGCTGTGTTGAATTAATTTTGGATAATTTTCTTGGCAACTTTAACCAAAATTTAAGAAGTGAATCTGTTTCAAATGTCATTACTTGCGTTGAGGGGGAAAACTCTCAATGTTTTACTAAGGTTTTTTTATGCTTTACTGATTGTTAATTTATCCCTAAATGATCTTTTAAGTCTGAGGAGCACTAGCGTGAACTAGCTACTTATCCATTTTGTTCCTTTTATTTTTTTCCTCTTAATGTCACTGTGGCATATAGACACAGTTGTGTACTTGTGCTGGTATATTTGTAACACTGCTTGGGCTGCTAAATTTATAAGTTAATTTGAGAACCAAAATTATGCTTCAGAATAGGGGGATCACTTTGCAATGGACAACACAGTACTAAGCTTTTGGTGGGTGGAGTGTGCTAGTGCTTTTGTTGGTTCTACCAAATCTTCCTAGTCTTGGTACACAGTCAGAAAAACATGGTAGTAAAGGTTTTTTTTTTATATCCTGCTTACTGAATTATGCTTGGATGAGCCATTTCTAGCTGTCAGCTAGTGCAGTTTAGTTCTAATAATAATTTGTACTTTTTCTGACTGTGGAATTGTTAAGTTCTTTGCATCATGGGCATGTCTGTTTTGTTGCATCATACAGTCGTGTACCTGGCTGCAAAATTTGATATGCAGAATAAAAATGAAGTGCTCTGTAGTTTCATATCCTTGTTAAAATGTCACAACTCCAGTCTCTTTAGTAATAATGTAGAAAAAATGTGTAATATCACTTTGTATTATGTAGGAGAAGTCAAGTTGGAGTAGTTTACACACTGATATTTTACATACAGGCAGTTATGTAGGTGCAGTAATTTTAAGATTACTGTGGAAGTGTTGCATTAACATATTTGCACTTTCTTTGAAATGTGTCATTTTCTATCTTTAAAAAAAAAAGTACCAACCATTGTGTCATTGAAGTCATATCTGTGCAGTATTTCAGCTAGCAAAAAGCTTATTTCCAAATAGGTAAATATCATGGAATTTTCTAAATTAGTGTCATACCTTATTTAACAATGAAATGGTAGCCACAGTTTTTGTTAGCAGGTATTGAGAAAGCAAACAACTAGGTGATGTGCATAATACTGTACTGAACACAGACATTAATATTAAGCAGAAAGGTATATCTGAATAAGTTGGTTTGAATCTATAATAAATACTGTACTTCTTAAAAAACAAGCCACTTACCTCTACAAATATTTTGGAATCTATTAATTCTGTGTTTGGAGGTTTTTACACTTTCATGTTGGTATTTTTGTCTTCCAGTGGGGAAAAAAAAGTCCCATAAAAATTATGTGCAGTAAATAAGTGAATGCTGCCTGAAACTATATATTTTTTTAAGTTAATAATGGGTCAAAAATCAAGGAATTTTCCAGTGTTTAAATTTCTTCCTGTAAGTAAATTATTTTTTGATGGTAAGAATATTTAGTTTTCTAGGTCTTTGAACAATTTTCAGCAAAGAAGACTACTATAACTGTCTTTGAAATGAATGTTACAGATTTTTATTACATCTTGCTGATAAAACTGGAGGTGTTATTGTGACTAACGATAACTTCAGAGAATTTGTGACAGAATCATTTGCCTGGAGAGAAATTATTCAGAAAAGGTAATTACTTAGATTTCTGTAAAACTGTGTAGGATGTCTATACTTAAAGTTGCAGGCACTCTGATTTAAAAAAAAAAAGTTTTAAATTATAATTCCATGTGAAGGTAACTTATGATGCAATTCTCTTGGAGCACAAGTTACTGTTAGTTCCACCCCTTTGATTTGTGACCTTCTAATTGTGTGTTGAGTACCCTAATATCCCTGTTATTCACGGATCTTCTAATGCTGTCTGTTAATTGCTCTAAGCAGAAGCCCTCTATGGCAGCCAAGCTGCTTGCTTCTGAAGTTTCAGTGTTACGTTCTGTTAAGAGTACACACTTAGCAAGCTGTTCTCACAGTCTTTTTTGTCAGTTCATTTCTTGAAGGAAATACAGTGGCTGATGCAGACACAGTGTCACTGTTAATGTTTCAGAATCACTCACTCTGCACTGCAGTACAACAAAAAATAGACATAGCTAAGCAAAATAATGAATGTTATCCCTGCAGCTGTTTCCCTACGACTGTTGAGCATCCTGTGGAGTTAGATGAGTTCACTTAGCTGTCAGGTATCCGTGTTTGAATTTGTGGATTCTCTATGGGTCATAGTTTCTCTTGAGCAATCAGTTTCTTTTTCTGACCCCCCCTCACTTTTTTTTTTCTTCCAGTTAAATCAGGTCATCTTAATAGGAAAGTACATTCTTCAGTTTTGACTGAAGTTCCTATTAATCCCTCAGTCTTTGCGACATCCTCTGAGCAAACACTTGCTGCAGTGATTGGGTTCTGTATACATACACTGAAATAACTGAAAACTGACTTGGGTTCTTGTCTAGTCACATGGATATTTTCACTCTTTAAGTGAGTTACGAAAATCAGGTTCTGTTCTCATACAGTACTTCAGTAAGAATAATAAATGTCATTCTTAGTCTGTTTTTGTTTTTTCTTTTTTTCTTTTAAGATCATGTGTTAACATCTGCTGTTAGTTTTACTTCTGGGGAAATTCCACTATACCAAATCTCTTCACAGACAAATTTTTGTTGATTGAGTTTCCTTGAATGCAGATTTTCCACCAGCCCAAAATAATTCCAGAAAAATAAAAGCATTTGTGTTTCAACCATAAGCACCTAAAAATATTTGCTAGTTGTGTGGCTTTCTGATAACATAAGCACTAATCCCTTTTTGTTTCAAGATCCTTACAAAGTAGGGGAGTTTGAACAACCAGAAAATCTTCTGTAATCATCTGGAAAATTCCACACTGGTCTCTGTTATAAAAAAAAAAATAAAAAATGCAGTCACCTGACATGCTGATTGTAAAAGGAAAGAAAAAAATCATCCACCTCAGTGGTTTGCAGTGCAAATAAGAACAATGTACATATGCTCCCTTAAAGTTACTTTGACAGTGATTGCTGGCTGCAATTAAAATGGGTATTCACTAGCTGAGCTCTAGTAACTCCTGATGTTGTATGGAGTGTTTGTTCCAGGCATATACACTTTTTTTTTTTTTTTATGGAGATAAAGGGTGGGAAGGGGAGAATACATTGCTAGTAAAGAATAATGGAAGAACTCTCTTGCAGGTTGCTCCAGTACACTTTTGCTGGGGACATTTTTATGGTTCCCGATGATCCCTTGGGAAGAAATGGACCTAGATTAGATGACTTTCTTCAAAGTGAAAGCTGTTCTAGGTATAATTTCTGTTTTCGCTTCTCTTTGAGACAGTTATGATTTCAGATGGGAAATGAACTGTTTGTGGCTCACTTGAATACTTCTGTAGAGCAATATAGTAAGGGTACAGTAAAATCAGACAAGAATGCTAGCACGTAGTAGCTTAAAAACATGGGTATTTTCTTCCTGTTACTGCAGACTGTTCAGAAAGTGCTGGTGACATTTGCATCAACATCTCTCACAACTGAAATAAGATAAATGCTTCAAATAACTTCCTTTGGGGTTTCACTGTGGTGGTTTTCATACAAAGGTGGTGCAAACTGTATGTCATTATTGCACAAACCTACTGGTAGTTGAGATATATGGTAGTCTGGTGTCCTTCCAATTACAGTGGTGGTATCTAAAATACACTTGCTCGTTATTAACACTTGAGCAATGGTTACCACAAAAGAAACACTGAATTTGTATCTTTTGTCATGGGGGAGGCATTTCATTTCACACGTGGTTATGGTACTGTTAATAAAACCATTTTGGAGGGGTGTTGCTATTTAAAGGCATTTGTACTTGACTTACAATGTTAAATATTAATAAGCTTATGTTGTTATGATTGTACTCTTTAAATATGTGTGTATTTCAGAAGGATGAATTTGCTCTGCATTATGTGCCAATATTTGAAAATGGATTTGTTCTTTTAAACAAGAATTAGGCTTCCTTTTCCCTTTTTTCACCAGCCTAACAATTATAAATGGATTAATGTGTAACTTAAAATAGAGCTCTGTAATTTTAATACAGTTTCCCTTGGTAGCAGGAGAACAAACTGTAATGTGAGTTCTAGTTCATATTTGTGTTATGTGCTGTCATGTGAAGTGAAATTGGCTCTGAATTGATAGCAATTTTGAGTAGCATCGACTTCTTAAATAGTCTGAAATGAAATATCAATAATTAAGATAGAATACTCAGATCCTAAAATTGCTGAAAAACTTAATTGCCCTATTAAAGATAGAAGGCGATGGTTTTTTCATTTTACAGTTTTTTTCATTTTGAATCAGTATGTGTTCAACACATCTTTTTAATCCACTTAGATCAGTGACATTTGTGTGTCAGTAAATGAGCTTTGGCTGTTGCTATACTCTGCCAGGTAGGTGTCATAGTGCTCACGGTGTATTGGAACAAGTCCTAGGTAATGTTGTTTAATACTGTTAGTCATGCCAGATTCAAGCTAAAAAATGTTATACCGACAGTTTCGTTTCAGTTTGGCATCAGGTGATTCATATTTTTTCAGTCAGTAACTGAGCAATCAGTGAAGTACAGGAGTTTCAGGCTTTTTTCTTGTCTGTGACTGTACAGAGGCAGTGTTCGCTCTATCTCACTTTAATCCATTTTCATTTTATTCCATAGAACTTTTCTGTCAGCACAAAAAGCTTTACAGAGCAGAGAGCAATATTCTTCTGAGACACCTTTCTTTGTGCACCTTCCCAATCCAACCAGCAGCAGTCAACAGCCTAAAAATCGAGCACAAGGTGATCGTTCAGCAGCGTGGCTTCCATTGGATACAAATATGAAGGCTTGTCTGTCAATTCCACCACAAAGATCTGCCTCAGAAACAGTACGATTAAGAGAAGCCTTGATAAAAATATTTCCTGATTATGAGCAAAGACAGAAGATTGATAAAATATTAGCTGATCATCCATTCATGAGAGATCTTAATGCACTATCTGCCATGGTGCTTGACTGAAGATTACACAGGGTTTTTCTATCACAACTGATCAGACTAAATGTCAGTATGAGTAAGAATGTTGCTCTGTCATGTTACTTTGTGAATATTCAGAACCTAATTTTATTTGTATAAACAAACATTTTTATGTATGTCCTATTGCTAATAGATGCCAGTTTTTGGTAAATTAAAAACTGCTGCTACTACAGATCTGTGTTAATATTTTCTATGAAAAATCTTCCACTTCATTTTAATTGCTTATTAAAGCAGTAATGGTTCTGAAGAACTGATGTCACTTTAAATAACATGTTAGCACGTTCTAGAAAACAAAAGCACTTATGTGCTTCTCATACCTTCTTCACTGAAAACCAGATATTTCTTGGTGAAAATACAAACGGGCATTTCACTATTTTCAGATACAGAGACTGCTGTATAATGTTTACGTGCTTTCCTTAGGTCTTCATCATATATTTTGGAAGTAATTGTATACTCCTTAGGGCCTGTGAACAACTGATGACCACTGTGTGGAAGCTGTGTTGGAGTCTGGTGTACTATTGCAATACTATCACAAGATGGCATTATGCATCTGTTGGTTTCTAGTGATGAAGAGCCAAGATTTCTGACCTGTATTCAGATGTGCTAGTTCTTATATAAACAGTAAATGCAGAACAGACAACAGTAAGTGTTGTTATGGATAATACTGAATATTGTATGAGTAACTTCTGGATACTAAACAGACTTGCAGGTGATATTACAGATGACTATTAAGTTCTGTGTACATGGCCAAGATGGAGGGCACAGAGTGCACAGACAAAAAAAGCCTTTTGCTTGTTCATTCAGACTGCAGGATATATTGTAAGAGCAGTTAAAAGATTCCAGCAAGAACGCGTGAAATCACAACTCTCATCAACAGAAGACGCTTTTAGTGCTTTAAAAGTTCTGTGATGTCTGTGTTGCTTTTAAAATACTAATTATATTGACCATCAGTATGCCTTTGGAGTAATTTAAGTACCTGTGCTGTTTTGTTTGTCTTTGCCCTGCTTGTTTTAACCAAGAATCCTGCAAAAGGCTATTATCAAAACATGATGCTGTTTATATAGGAATTACATGCTGTGTCTTGTGCAAAGTTAGTACACTGCATTTAAGTCTGTTCTACTACTTGAAATCTGTTCCGGGTTCTGGCCCAAAAGTAAGGTAGCAGGAAAATTGAATGTAGTTTCCAGAAACTGGCATGTAGGACCATGCTTGAGCAGGAGCAAAGTGAAGATTACAGTGTGTCTGTGTACACGCTTAAGTCTTTGTGCTTTCCTTTAAATGGTTTTTCTTTTGTGCTTTTTTTTTGTGACTGAAAGCATGAGGTATGGAGCCCATGCTGAACTTCTGGCATGCTGAGCCTTACCTTGAAAAGTAAGAACATTGGTTTTCTCTCCAGTAGGATTTCCCTGGATTTTGAAATCACTGCTTTAGAAGCCAGATGTACTGGATGAACTAAGGAAATAAGTGTTGAAAGTTTCTCACAGTTGTCTCAGATGGCCTCTTCATATGCATTGTGAGGTCAGAAATAGAAGGCAGAGTCCTGCTGCTCTCAATAGGAACTGCAGCAAGAGCAAAACTAAAATATATTAGGAGCGGTTATCGACATAAAAAAGGAACAGTGAGAAGGAAGAAATTGCTTGAATGTGGTTCTGCATCCAAATAGACTGGTTTATTTTTTCCCCTTCACACCTGAGTGGACAATTCATAGGTCTGGTCAGGTGAGTAAAGTTATTCTTACCAGCACATCTGCAAAAAAGTAATGCTCAACTAATAAATCCTGTGTGATTAGCAAGGTCTGTCCTCACAAAATCTTAGATAGGTCTCTAAAGCCAGTCATTGCTGATCTGAGAGGGTGTTTTAATGAGCTGTAGGGGAGTAAGTTGCAATCAGTTAAGGATTTCCACGTAAGAGGGGTAGAATCCTGAGGAGGAAAATGATGCTGAATTTGGTAATTCTGCTTAGTATTGCATCAGAGTGAGATGGAGAAACTTTTGATCAACTTCTAAGCAGCTCTTCCAGAAGTGTTGTGGTTTAACCTGTGTGGTAGTTAAGTACCACACAGTTGTTTGCATGCTCTCCCCCTTCCAAGTGAGATGGGAGGAGAATTATTTTAAAAAAAAAAAAAAAAAAAAAAAAGTAAAACTCGGGTTGAGATAAAAACTAAAAGGAAGAGGAGAAAATGATATTTGTTACAATAATTATATTTATAACAGGTGATGCACAAGTGATTACCACTCACCAAGTTAGCAGATGGTCCCTGAGCAGCAGCAGGTCACTCAATTCAACTCCCCCAGTTTTCCAACTTTCATTCTGCAAGATGTCAGCATGAGAGGCAGAGAAAACTGAAACATCCTTGACTGTACAGCTCTACTCAGCAACAATTAGAGACATCAGTGCTATCAACACTGGTTTTTTCCTAAAACCGAAACAGTATTACACCAGGCACTGTGAAGAAAAGCACTACTGAAGCTAAATAAGGAAAATTAGGAAAATGAGCTAAGACCAGTACAGACTACTCTAATCTTCTTTGCTTAGTAGTATACTCAAAACTGAAATTAATCATGTAAAGCGGAAGTGCAAGTAAAAAAAATACATTTTTATTTTCAACTTTCACAAGGAATGAAGAAGATGAAGACAAGAGTATGACTGCACAGGGAGCTGAAGATAAGCACCACGTTGACTACATCCAGAGAGGGAGAGACAGGGAAGAGTAAACTCTTCACTAGCTATCGATGGATTGAAGGGCTGCATTAATACCAGTAAATGCTAATGCACTGCTCTTTTCTGAGCTAAACATCCAATTTGAAAAGAATTTAAGAGGAATGTAGTGTCAAGTCTCAGCAGAGTAGTAGTTGATTACTTTTGCATGATGTAAGAAGCATAGCTGGGAATAGTAGCTCTAAAACCTGTCATCTAACTGCTTTTTCCCAGGAGTACAGACTAGACAACTGATTTCTGTGGCATTTATGGGTATTAAAGCAAGCTGTCTAATCTGACATTCTTGTGAAATGAATCCCAGTGAGGCCACAGGTTGTTTTCTATTTTTTTTTTTTTTTTTTAAAATTATATAAGGTTCTGTTCTGCCTCCAGGTTTGAGTTTTAAGCACCAGCTCCAACCATTGTCACTCTGGTCTCAATCTTCCTTGAAGAAAGTGGATGGAGCTTTTGCAATATTATGTCTATGGTAGAAGAACACGTGATTACATCTCATCTATGCTTTGAACAAAATCATCACTGTTTTTCTGTTTTGTTTTCACTTGTTCCTGATTCCCTACGAGCTTGCTTGCTCTATGAACAGCCACAAAATCCTCTCTCAGTGCGCAACAGAACTGGACTGCATCAAAAAGAGCTGAGAAAGCCTTGTTGGAACCACCATCATTGAAAGCTCATCAAAACAATTTTTTTTTTTTTAGGATTTTTTAATGGAAAAAAAAAAATCTGCTTTTCTATGCATGAAAGTTTGTCTGTGATGCTCCTTTATTTAGTGTATAAAATTCTTAGAATGAAACGAGCAAAGCAAAAGGTAAAGTCCAAACGAAAAATTATCCCTTTCTAAGTCTGAATATAAATAGAAACGTTTGTGATGCTTAGAATTAATTGATTTTCTGAGATGGTACAGCTTTCAATTTAAGATATTTCCATTGAAATTGGAAGGTAAAAGGAGTATTTCTTTGATCCTGCTCAGAAATGTCCTGTTTTCCAGGCTAAGATATTCAGAATTGTAGGTAGGTATAACTACTTCTGCCTGAAAAGAATAGCCCCGAGTTTACCAGCAATCATTTAATAATAATGAAATACCCAGCAATAAGTAATAAAAACTATGTTATATGATTGTAATTACCCAGCTCCATACTAAAGCAATAAAATATCACAACTACTTGAGTACATTCAAGTAGTTGTCTGTGTCATAACATGTAACTGTTATTTAGTTGGGTTCTAAGCCTTGTGTAGCAAAGAATGCAGTTTAGATACCCATGGCATTCTGAGTGTCCAAGTTTAGTACCAGCAGACTCCATGATTTTGGAGCTGGCTACTCTTTCTGCCACGCTACAGTTCCCACATAGCTCACACTTGTTACTGGTTTCTGTGCTGGTAAAAGAAGTGTATAGTGAGTGATGCAGTTTTGCAAGCAAGTCTTGCACCAATAGTGAATCCGAATTTGTCATTCCTGCTGACCTTAGCTAATATTAACTGTCTTTGGTACAGTGTTTTCTGGTATCCCAAACGCTAAATAGGGGATACCAGAAAACATTGTACCAAAGACTGTATTTTTTTTTTTTTCTTCCTACTGGCCCAAATTCCTTTTGTGTTCCAAGAGCCTCTCCCATCATCTTGGAAAAGAGTTGACTGTACCTAGAAGAAAAATCCTACGAGTTTGAAAATGTGAAGTAGATTATGGTATTTTTTGCTAAATTCTAGCGTATCTCCTAATGCTGAATTGTATGATGACAGAAAAATCTGAATTTAAAAAAAAATACCGTGATAGGTGGGAAAGCTGTTCTTCGATGAAAAAACAAATTTAAAAAACCTATGATGAAAACCTTACTGTTGAGTAGGTAAGATCATTACGAAGAGTCTTACAGGAAGGAACAGAGCAAAACCAAGTTTTCCTTCAGACATTAACACTGAGGCATTATGTATGTCCACTGACCAGTTTGCTGTGGCAGCAGGTAACTCACTGAGTATAGGGTAGAGGACCTTATGTTATTTTTCCTGTGAAAGAAAAAAGTTGATCGATGGTAAGCAAAAATAATTGTAGCTGGTCTTTTGTCTAACACAGAGAATGAGCACACTGAAGGTCATTTTGGAGAGCATAGATGAAGTAATTCCCTTTTTTTTTTTTTTTTTTTTTTTTTTTTTTTCCTCCTATCTGAGAGAAATCTCAGATTTTAATGAGTGGAAAAGAAGGAAAACAAGGAAGTTAATTCCTGAGACATAACAGAGTTGACAGAGAGAATATTTGATTTTTTTTTTTTTTTCTCATCAACTAAAAATTTTCATGTGGATGTTCAGTTTAACCATTCTCACTTGTCAAAGAGAGATGCTGTGGCACAAGGAAGACCTGACATACCTCACACCGAATGCCATACTCCTGAGGGCCTTACCACAGTAACAGCTTGCTCTATCCATCCTCCTTATCCCACCACGGTATCTGTTGTGCAGGCAATGTGCAGTGCTGATAAGAGGGCTTTTCCTCAGCTGCTATCACTGCTGCTAGCTCCAAGGTAGCCCTGTTGCTGTGCAGCCTCAAAGGGTGTCCATCTTGTTTCACTTTAGGTGAGCTGTTGTGGGGAGGATGGGAAAAAGGAGGTGAGGAAGCAGAAAGAAAGGCTGATATTCTGCTTAGCATAAGGCTTTGCAAGCTTGTGTGGCAGTCTGGGCAGCAGACACAGATGCGAGATTGGTAGGAAACTGGCAGGGGATGGTGGAGCACAAGGCACCCCCACCCCCCCTCAGCCACGCGCAGGGCAGCACTGCAATAGATGTGTTTTAAGTGAGCTTACATCCACCATTCTGTCTGCACTGATGGCCCCAACAGGGTGTCATCATGTCCGTGCTAAACTGAGGTGGTAAGCTGCAGGTACGCCGCTATGCTGAGCAGCCTACGCACAAAGCAAGGGGTGTCAGAACTCTTCTGTTTTTACAGAATGCGTTTCCTGTTATGTCTATGATTTAATACTGTGTAAACACTGTAGAAATCTGTTGAAGGAGATGGGATTCAATATTTTTACATCCCCATGCGGGAAGACCTCTATTGGTATAAATTGCTTTGCCACAACTGAAAGCTGAGATCTGGGGGTTTGTTTTTCTTGTCCTGAGTGATTGAGCTACGCCTGAAAAATGTTAAGTATTATGTTCTTATTCCAAAATAAATATTCATGTTTGGATTTAATCAAGAATAGATGAATTACTTCAAAGTCACAGTTACTTATTCAAGTGTAGACAGAACCCCAATGTGGTCTGGGGACTTTGTGCTTGGTTTTAAAGGGAAATGGCTTCTCTATTTGTTATGTTTGGACTGGTGTTAACTATAGGCCCCCTAAATCATCTAGAGCTGTGTTCATGTCTGAGCACAGTTTTTTCACTCATGTATCCTGGCCTCATACATTTTTATTTTTAAGTGCCAATGTGAGAATATGTGTATATTGCAATCTTCATCTCTTTCTCTAAATTCTGTTCTTAAAGCACACATTGTGCTATTCAACCTTTGCTGAATGAAACATAACCACACAGCTGCACTTAATCAAATTACATATAAGTTCTACATTTCAGTGTCACTCTAGCTCCACTGGCTGTTCCTGGTTTACAGTCCATAGAGACACACATGACTTCCCAGCACTCCCCCAGGACAGAACCAAAATGGAAATGTTTTGATAATGATCACATTTTTCTCCCTTTCTGTGCTAATTAAAAAAAAAATCTTAATTAGAAGCATTGTTTTGAATGGCAAATAACAGGAACTATTTCCTATGAATGAGCGGTGCAAATTTGTCCTCTTCCATCCCTTAATATTTTATAGAATCATCTTCAGGATAAACTCTTCAGACTCTGTCTTCTGGTTATGGGTATGAGATTTGTGGTAAATTCAAGAGTTTACTGTCAAAAGAAGTTTGTTCTCTACATTTTAAGATTGACTTTATGTAATATAGGTGGTCTTATTCACATTGTAAGAAAAGCTACAAATAAGTCCTAGTATTCAGTGCTGGTGGTGCTGCTTTTCATTTTTCTGTCAGTGCCATATTAGGGCAGTTAGGTTTTTGGAAGAGCATTTCTGAAATGCCCTTTGCAACAACTTGCAACAGCAGAGAAAGTGCCTGAGAAAGTTCCATGAGAAACAGTGAATCATGCATTGTCTTTCTAATTCTGACAGTGTTTTCTTCTGTTTCACAAGCTCATGGACTGCGTTTGCTACGAATGCCTTTCTCACTGGATTATTTCTGTAGCTGCATCCAGTGCCATCTTTAGATCTGGGTCTGATTTACGTTCTGAATGGTTCTGATTTTTAGGACGCTTGTAGCTCCACTGCAATTCATGCACATATCCTGTTATTCTAATAAATGATATTTAAAATAATAATTACCTTGCAAGTTCAAACACTACCTACTGTGCTGTGTGAAACTGTGGAGACTTTGGTAGCGGATTCTGTTATCAGGAGGAGTATGGTTACAAAACCAGATGCGTCTCTCAATGTTCAATTTCTTCCTTTTATCAAAAAATATGAACCCAAGGCCCTGGCAGCCACATCCAAAGTATTTTTACTGTGCTCAATTCTGTGCATCTATATTGGGAAGTAATTCTACGGACACACTAAAATACTGTATTGCTCAAGCAAAAATAATAATGATGAATTAAAAAAAAGAAAAAGATGGATTTTAGATATGAGCATTTTTTATCTTTCTGTGTATGAACTTGTTTATGAATGGTGTTCCATTGTACTGTTGAAGTTTCAGAGCTGTGTGCAATAAGCCAAGTTTTGCTGTTTGCGTTTATATCTAAATTCTGCAAGGTTGCATTATATAATTTTTAATGGCAGTTAAAAGGTAACTTGTTTTGAACATGAGACATTTTTTGAATACGTTGTTTCCCTTTTCTCAGTCTTCACTTGAATTTTAGTAGTTTAAGGAATGTTTTTTTCCATGCACTGAAAACTAAAAAAAAAAAAAAAAGTTAAGTTTTTAATAAAAAAATAGAAACTATTCTCCAATAATACCAGATTTCTGCTGGAATAGACTAATTCATTTTTTATCTGTACTGTGGTTCAAGCCCAAAGTAAGCTAGTTTTGCTGCCTAGCTACTGAATGAACAAGCATTATTTGAAATATTTAGTCTTCAATTTATTAACTTTAAGAGGAAAGCTTTTAGGCATAGACCCCTCCCCCCACTCTTTAAAACAAATTTTGAAGATAAATTCAAACTCTGTATGTTTTGATTCTTTAATTTTACTGTGCCTCTGATGGTGATAAAACCATTTAAAAGTTTCTGGAAATACAAGTACTGATAGCATTCTCATATCTGTAGAGGGAGCCACTTGTTAATTCCTCAGTTCGAAGATTGCACTCTTGGTCTCCAAAGAAAAGATAGCATGTTATAAATTACATACAAACTTAACAAATATTTTCACAGCTACTCGCTGTTAGCGCATAAGTTCACTGTCTGTCTCATTGCATCATTTTACACCTTTACTGGTATCCTCACTGTCATGTTTTATCTTTCCCCTTTGCTTCCTGGCTCAGGGATGGTACTTTATTTTTAAATTTGCTAACAATTTAGCTTTGAGATGAGGGTGAAATTGGTCGTAACATATTTGCCTTTTCTTATGAGGACTCTTAATTCAATTTTGCAATGATAAATTTTCTGTTTGGAAAACTCTGCTATTCAAAAATTAAGGTATCAGCGCATAAGGAAGAAAAAAAAATAAAGTGAGAGGGATTGTGTTAAAAATCAGATGATATCCCAGAGACATGGGATGTAACAGGAGAGGAGCAGAGCCTTCATGCCAGAACCAGGTATGAAGCAAAGCAGAATCCAAAAAGCAGCAAGAAAGGGGCTGACCCTTCTGCTGGGACAGTGACACAGGATGAAATGACACAGAAACCATTCTTGAATCTTCACGTGAGGAGCACTACTGCTCCTCGAGTCCAAACGAGCCTCAGTCAGTTGTGTGCCTTGCAAAGGCAGAAGAAAATAATGAATATTTGTAAGGCAAGAGCATGAAGGTCTGGCAATATTTTTGTGGAGGAGGAGGAGATACATGGTTTATAAATACTTCTCTGTGGGAGATCTTTGCAGCAGAGGGCCTTGAATTAAAAAGAGCACATCAGAGTCCTTTGCCAGATCTCCTACTGGCAGAACACCAGGAATATGGATAATGACATTCTTGACATTCTGAAGTGCAGGGACTTTAAAACAGTAATATTTGACAATTCTTGGAAAGAAATTAACGTTTTCTGTTTCAGATAAAGCTACTCAAGTATTCTTTACATTAGAAATGGATAATTTTCTGTATTTTACCTTTTTAGCCAACTTTTTAATTCCCTTGGCACAGATGCAGGGAGGTCTAGCAGCTGTTAGTACCTAACAGAAATTTCCAGAGCTTGGTAACTTAGTTTGAAACACATAATTCAACACTCAATTTCACAATGTTTAAACTTTTTTCCCTTCTGGAGTTGTGCCAGAAACTGACATTTGAGTACACGATTAAGGACATAGCACAGAAAATGAAATGGTTTAAGACAATACTAGTGTGGACATGCAATAAACTTGCAGAATTTATACTGATTCAGTGTGCACACAAATGATTTTGTTTGAAAATTGTCAATACATTAATACTGACTAAAAAATCACTTAGGGCTGTAATTCTTAAGTGGTACATATTGGGGTGGCTTAAAATGCTGCTGGTGTTAATTTGGGGAGATTCACTTTAGCTACCCTTGCTGCTGCAGGAGTGCTGTGTGCTGGTGCCTCCATTGTCACAGCTGGCGTATTGCCTTTCACTGCTTTAGGTCACGAGTCAGTTCTCTGCTGTCAATAATGATGTGGAGAAGATACAGAAGGAAGCTGACTATCTTTTGGTTTATAACATCCATTACAGCTAGACTTTACACATGGAAATCAAATCAAGCTTCCTAGTATTGCAGCAACTTTAAGTCTTCAAAATTATGATGGAGTAAAATGCTTCATATATAAACCCATGTGGTGGAATTAGTCTCAGGGCCTTTCATGGACATTATTCTAGTAAGAGGTGAAAGTAGCTGCTGTTTGTGGAGCTGTTTTAGAGAGGAGGTTCAGATTTATTTTAATATTTAATTAAATACAATTAATAAAGCATCTTAAATGAGATTGTGTTGTTCCTGTAAAAAAATTATAGTCCTTTAGTTCTCTTATCACTGATGAGCCCTTGATTGCCTCTTCTTTGTATCATAGTGCACTAACAGTAATACAAAGTGAGAAGGATGTAATAGGAGTCAGCCTTCAATTGGGTGCATCTGTTCATAAGCTGCAGGTGGGAAGAAGCGGTGACTTGCCAGTGGTTATTTGGTGCTGTAGTGGCTGATACTGAAACTGATTTCTTCCCCTCCTAAAGCATATGTGATATCTTCTCATCATTAGAACTGCTATTTAGTTCTAGTGGTTATGGATTAAATACTAGTTTTGTGTGCAGGTTTTCTTTCTCTCCCATAAAATGACAGGTAGACATACATTGCAAGTTTTGTTACGACAGTATCTCGTAATACTGTAAATAAACAGAAACATTCCTGTAAATGTAAACATTTCTTTAAAT